TATACACTGGCCACCCAGGCAGCATAGCTGATTTCGGGTGCCAAATAAGACAAAGATTAAACATACACAATATAACATACTTTAATACAGTAAACTAAACTAACTAAAGGCGCTCCTGCGCCGTTACCGTGCGTCTGAAGTAGGGTTAATTGTGTCAGGAAAAAGTGATAAATATTTCAGTGCGCTTTTTGTTCAGGAACAAACTAAGTGGGTAACGGTTTGTAATTGCATGGATTTTGGTACAATGTTGAGTAAACAAAAAAAGAATTGAAAGCAAAAAAGGAAAAGAAATACATTTGTTCTGTTCTCAAATAGTTTCACCTCTCTGTGAAGCTCTGTGACTATAATGTATAGAAAATTTACTGCAAATACATGCCCGAGGGGGAATTGCAGGTAAAACAACAGGCATGAAAACAGAAAATGCACGTACAATGGTATGAGAGACTGACCTCCATTCCTGATTTTCGTGTTTTTTACCTTTGAACGGCTAGGACTTTGAATATGGACTATGACTCTGTTTTGACGCATCGGACTTTTATGTTTACTGTATGTTGTCCTACTATATGTAACAATGTCTTGTGTAATTTTGCTGGGCCCCCTTGGAAAACAGCTAATGTAAGCTGAATGGGGTTACCCAGCCGTTTTAAGATGAAAAAAAAATATATACATTGTACAACACATATATATAGTATAAACCGTGGCAAAACGCGGTTACAAAGATCAGGCGAAACTCGCTACAAAAACGGACTGTCTCACCTGACGAGAAATCTGATCTGAAATCATGTCATTTACATAACAGAGACGCAGAGCGGACACAAATTGTCTTCGAAAATAGGACGGATCAAAAGTGCGCAAGGAGCTGCCTTGGGACATGGTTTAGAGCAGGGATTGTCATGTATAAATATCAGTATTTGACACAAAGTTTGTACTGCCACAGTTACACCACAGCAGTGGAATGTGTTAATCACTAACCTTAGTCCTGCGCATCGCGTCTGCTGCTGTTTCCAGGTCAGCTGGCTCTCATGACGTCACAGCGACGCGAGGTCACCGGGTCAACGGTCTACAGGTCACGTGGTGGCGTTTAGGAAAGGGACTTAAATTGTGTGGAATTAATATTGGCAAAAGAAAACGTTTTTTTTTTTCTTAGAGATTTTAATTTTTCTTTCTTGTTACTTTGTACTTTGTCGTTACCAAAGTTGAACTCGTGACAGATATGACCTGAGAACTTTTTTTGACTATTGAAAATTGTCCCGTCTATTTCTGGATCTGTATAGCAGAATAACATGTGGAGTGAGTGACGTCACTGACCTGTCACACCTACTGTTAACATGTTTGTCTAACTGAAACCTATTATTAATAGCTTAGAGCCGAGACCAGTTCGTAGCCTGGTTACCAAACCTATTGGAGCTTAGAGCCTAGACCCTGTCGCGGAAGAATTGGTGTGTGCACTGTTGTACTTTTACATGGCTGGACATGTAGTTATGACTTACATCGGCAAATCAGTTAATTTCAATCAAACTAATCGATTAACTTATCGATTGTTTACAGGATCGAGGCTCGAGCCTCACTCTCTCGGTGTATAACAAATGAAACTCAGACACGTTGTACACAACGTAATGGACAATGTTACACTGAACATATCCGGGCCAATATTACTGTCCATAGAACATATCCGGGTCAATCTTCCTGAGCCAATCTAACTGTCCACAGAACATATCTGGCTCAGGCTACCTGAGCCTAATCTCCAAGCAGATCCCTTTCGGTGGCAAAAAGACAGTATCAAATAGGCCAGGCAGTATCCAGAGAAGGTCGCCGGCCACCGACGGGTGGGTTAGCGACAAAAATACGGCCATATATAAAAAGCAAACGATCATTCCGCCACAACCTCTGCTTGGAGAGTACCTGAACCAATTTTACTGTCACTGTGACACCGATTTGCAGCTAAAAAGTAAAGCAACATCCATTATTTTCTACTCACAGTTTGTAGTCTAGTGTTGCTGTGCTAATCGTGATGTACAACCACTGTTGTGATCGGCCTTATTAACATAAATACACTGACAATAGTTCCAATACGTGATCGTCACTGGAAAGACCGGNCAAAATTAAAAAAAACAATCATCTCAAACAACGCGGGGCCGCTGCGCGTGTCCATGTGAGCCAGCGGGCCCCAGCCCAGCAGCGTGGACCTGCCCGCCTGCCGGTACAGCTCGGACATGGCGGGAACCACGTACCTGCAAAATTACATACACTCATCTCAAACAACACGGGAACCACGTACCTGCAAAATTAAATAGTATTACACTCATCTCAAACAACGCGGGAACCACGTACCTGCAAATAAACTCATCTCAAACAACAATGCAGAACAAGAGACTGGGCCAAAACACAGAACAACGTTTCACCTCTAAGTCTATGGTGGCAGGTAGATACACGTGTAGATATATATATATATAGTTGCTATTTGTTGTATATGTATTGATAAGATTTCGATTTTATTTATTTATTTATAGATATGGGACTTCAGGAAGAATAGTGTTGTATGCACTAATGGTGATCTAAAGAAGACAAACAAACAAACAAACAAACAAACAAACAAACGTACACCGACTGGAAACACAACACGCGCAGGCTCGTCCGGCTCCCGACATGCTGTTCGAACCCCAGCACAGGAGCGTCGTTCATCCTGATGACGCAATCAGCACTGTCGATCTCGTTCCCAGCCTTGTAGTTCAGAAGGTGGCCTGATCGTTCAACAAAGAACATTGTTTTAACCAAAAAGTACATTGTTTTAACCAAAAAGTACATTGTTTTAACCAAAAAGTACATTGTTTTAACCAAAAAGTACATTGTTTTAACCAAAAAGTACATTGTTTTTAGCAAAAAGTACATTGTTTTTAGCAAAAAGTACATTGTTTTTAGCAAACGGTACATTGCTTCTAACAAAAAGTACATTGTTTCTAAAAGTTTAGGTCCTGTACAGTAAATAACCAGGTAGCTGTAACCTTTTCTGTGTGGAGACGGGGCACGACACAGGCTACCTGCGAACTGAGGCCACGTGTTTACGTGCCAGATGTACATGTTACAACAATCCTGAACCTCTGATGCCATTTTTCTGTCCAGATTTACACTGATATGTGCAAACATGTTAATTAGGTGTGCAGATACAGATTTATCTACAAATATTTTTTTATTCACAGCCAAGGGTAAATCGCGAATCTAAAAATACCGCGGATTGTCCATTTTCCCGAAACCTCGAACTTTAAGCCCCGCGAAAATAAAGATAATTACAGTACTTTATTCAGCACTACTGGATTATAGAAGAGGCGTTCTAAAGAAAATGTAGATCAGAGTTAGCCTGGTTACCAAACCTGTTATAGCTCCCGAGTCCCATCCTCTCCTCACCACGGGAGCTGTAACAGGATCGGTAACCAGGCTAAGGAGAGGATGTATGACTCGGGAGCTATAGTAGGTTCAGTAACCATAGTAACCAGGCTAGATCAGAGATTGTCGCCAAACTTACCAGAATTGGATACCACGGCGCAAACACGACAGCGCATGCTCAGTTGCTGCATGATGGAGTGACAGTTTATAAACATTGTATCATCAAAGCAATTCACTCATCTGCGCATGTGCACAGCTCGATTGGAAAATTAGACAAAGCAGGGAATTAGACCTTTCCCCAACAGTCAGCAGCGCATGCGCAGTTACAGCTGTGTCTATACGGGTGAAGTTTATAAAACATGAAGTGACGTCATTTACGTCCCGCGATTCTTATGTGTTGTATCATAAATCTATTTAATATATTACATTTGAATAATTCAAAACATGACCAGTTGTCTTTGTTTCAATTAAGTATTTTAAAGCAGTTTACCAGTTATTAAATGGCACTTACATGTATTAACCGTTTGTCTCATATAAAACATGTGCTACATTAGACATGTACAATGTAAATCATATGCTACATTTGGCATTGTGGCAATATGAAGATGTGCTACTTTTAACATTATGACAATATAAAGCATTTGCTACATTTGACAAGAGAGCGCTCCTCTGACCTCTGACCCGTTTGGTACTCCGACGTAACCTCTCAGGGGGTTGACCCGGTCAAAGGGCGCAGGGGGCTCCACCGCCGGTTTGGGATCGCTCAGCGGGTCAGGTTTAACTGTGGCGTTTTGTAGCAGTTCTGACACTTTTGTTGTAGCATTTTGTAGTGATTCTGTTGAATTTCCGGAAAGTTGCGTACTGTTGAGATGTCGGCATGCGTTTCCGCCAAGGGTCCATCCTGGGGCCCCGGTAAGGGACAGCTGGCATCTGTGCAGCAACCATCCGGAATCCTGTAAAGCAATAGTGAAGTAAATGCATATTTCAGAAACACCCCCATAATGTCATTGAAATGTTTTCGCCCGGCCGTTGGAAGGCCCGCCTGTACGTTGCGATTGAACCGCCGATCGGGCGGGTATCGTTTACTTTTTTTTTTAATATGATGATGATGATGACTGGTTTATTTGCAACACGTGCTCAGACATACCGTTGCAGCCTTATCTGGCTGAATTAGGGCATGATACAACTCTTGTGTAATTCTTAAAATCCATCACATGTCTATACCCTTACAGACAAGGTACTATTACTAATTCATCAAAATTAATTCTACAAATGTAGGCTAAAAAGACAAGGTGATGACAAAATATATTCCAACATGCAATCACAAGATGTGGTGACGCCACCAACACAAGGGACAATACAATACTCATTTTCACCTGAGCGATGTGAGGAAAGTCGTGTAAAGTGCCTTTCCCAAGGGCACAAGATCGGTGACATGGGCAGGGTTCGAACCCGCGACCTCTCGGGTGTGAGCCGAACGCGCTACCGACTGCGCCACACGACCGTCCACACATGCACCTACCGTTTACTTCGAAATTCGCCATAGCTTTACGGATGATTGTCGCCTATGACTACTTTAAGTTTGAAACTTTCTTAACTCACCCGTCTGATGACCAGCCTGTCTGTCCGCAAAATGACGTACGTGAATCCGCACAGGAACACTGACGTCATCAACCCTAGTAAGAAGCTCACCTGGGGGAGAGAAACGCGTGTTTGTTTATTTGTTTGTGAGATTGTGCGTGCATTTTTACTCATCATATTTAATTTCTAACGCTGATCCTGTACATGCTTTTTCCCCCATGTTTTTGAATGGAAAGCATGTTTTTGAATGGAAAGCGTAAAAATAAAAATATAGTAAGAAACGGAAGAAAAGAAGTTTACACACAAAAACACCTGCAAACACACAAAAACACCTGCAAACACACAAAACATTCACTGACCACAGCGGTTTAAATGTACTCCACATGTTAGCAAGGTCGCTGATAACTAAAGGCACTATATAGCTATTTTTCATTTTCTGTTTTATTCTATTTTATTTTAATTCAATAGTAACAAGACTATACACTGGCCACCCAGGCAGCATAGCTGATTTCGGGTGCCAAATAAGACAAAGATTAAACATACACAATATAACATACTTTAATACAGTAAACTAAACTAACTAAAGGCGCTCCTCCGCCGTTACCGTGCGTCTGAAGTAGGGTTAATTGTGTCAGGAAAAAGTGATAAATATTTCAGTGCGCTTTTTGTTCAGGAACAAACTAAGTGGGTAACGGTTTGTAATTGCATGGATTTTGGTACAATGTTGAGTAAACAAAAAAAGAATTGAAAGCAAAAAGGAAAAGAAATACATTTGTTCTGTTCTCAAATAGTTTCACCTCTCTGTGAAGCTCTGTGACTATAATGTATAGAAAATTTACTGCAAATGCATGCCCGAGGGGGAATTGCAGGTAAAACAACAGGCATGAAAACAGAAAATGCACGTGCATGGTATGAGAGACTGACCTCCATTCCTGATTTTCGTGTTTTTTACCTTTGAACGGCTAGGACTTTGAATATGGACTATGACTCTGTTTTGACGCATCGGACTTTTATGTTTACTGTATGTTGTCCTACTATATGTAACAATGTCTTGTGTAATTTTGCTGGGCCCCCTTGGAAAACAGCTAATGTAAGCTGAATGGGGTTACCCAGCCGTTTTAAGATGGAAAAAAATATATACATTGTACAACACATATATATAGTATAAACCGTGGCAAAACGCGGTTACAAAGATCAGGCGAAACTCGCTACAAAAACGGACTGTCTCACCTGACGAGAAATCTGATCTGATATTATGTCATTTACATAACAGAGACGCAGAGCGGACACAAATTGTCTTCGAAAATAGGACGGATCAAAAGTGCGCAAGGAGCTGCCTTGGGACATGGTTTAGAGCAGGGATTGTCATGTATAAATATCAGTATTTGACACAAAGTTTGTACTGCCACAGTTACACCACAGCAGTGGAATGTGTTAATCACTAACCTTAGTTCTTCGCATCGCGTCTGCTGCTGTTTCCAGGTCAGCTGGCTCTCATGACGTCACAGCGACGCGAGGTCACCGGGTCAACGGTCTGCAGGTCACGTGGTGGAGTTTAGGAAAGGGAGTTAAATTGTGTGGAATTAATATTGGCAAAAGAAAACTTTTTTTTTCTTAGAGATTTTAATTTTTCTTTCTTGTTACTTTGTACTTTGTCGTTACCAAAGTTGAACTCGTGACAGATATGACCTGAGAACTTTTTTGACTATTGAAAATTGTCCCGTCTATTTCTGGATCTGTATAGCAGAATAACATGTGGAGTGAGTGACGTCACTGACCTGTCACACCTACTGTTAACGTGTGTGTCTAACTGAAACCTATTATTAATAGCTTAGAGCCGAGACCAGTCTAGCCTGGTTACCAAACCTATTGGAGCTTAGAGCCGAGACCCTGTCGCGGAAGAATTTATGTGTGCACTGTTCACTCGTTCTCATTCAAATGTACAAAATGCTGTCGCCACTCTTAACGACTAGGTATGAGCCAAATCATGGACCTCATCGTTGTTTTCTTCACTTTCCTATTTTAACTTACTATGTTTCACGAAAAATGTACCACAACACTAGGTTTGATTGATGACTTGAGAGAAATTATGGTCGCGGGTTGGATTTCTCCCCCTAAAAAGCGGCTGTCGCCTGAGACGAAATAGAAACTTAAAAAGCAACCTAAAACGTAGCAATTTGATTACGGCAGTAGTTTTCGGAAGTCAGATGGCCAGGCCCTCTGACTGATCAAGTCAGATCGCTCCTGATACTATTCTTGTACGTCATGCGAGGTGTTTCATACCTGTCGCCAAGTTCTGTAACATCCGTTACCGCTCAAGTAAGACGGTCGTGCAGTTGAGATAGAGTCACATATAAGACAAGAAGTTCCCATTTTGATGACTTTTACAAGTATTCTAGGTTTCTAAGAGAAGAAGAAAAGAGTGTGTGCTGTCATTTGTAGCCACCTTCGCTGAACAAATTGTTTTACTGTAATGAATGTAACATCCGTTACCGTTGTTTTTACCTTCAATTTTATTTTCTTCACCTGGTATATAAAAAGTCGCCCAGTTTTAAAATGTCCGTACTTATGCCCCCTTGTTCTCAAAGGATGAAGATAAAAACTTCAGATCTTCTTGGAGAAATAAACAAAAACGTCCGTTTTGTAACATCCGTTACCGGTAACGGAAGTTACACCTGTAGCGGAAAAGACGTAACAAGTGATTTAATTTCCCTTCCCTATCCACCATAAACATAATAGTTGGAAATGAAATAGAAAAAAATATGGATCCGAAGAAAAATAACCCTCTGTGGTGTCAACAGACTCAAATGTTCTACTCTTCTTTCCTTCCAGAGATATTTTTTGCTACTTCTATACACTGCATTTAGCTATCTTCATGTGTTCGATACGTGTATATTTACCAGTAAATAATGGGCTGACAGAAGTACTTTCATAGATACTGACGCCTAAACTAATGGCTTTTGAGGTGATGTCATGAATACAAGCTTTATCGTACACCCAATTCATGCTGATGTTCCAGTGTTTTTGCCGAACTAAAAATTGCATTGTTTACATATGTCTTATCTTAGTGCATAAATTTTCGGTAACTTCCCATGGCAATTAAGCTGTCCTTTTTTTGGTTATCATAATTTGAGATGTTTTCCTAAAAAATAAGGTAGGTTTGCCTGAAAAAACAGATCATCGATTTTTCGACCCAAAAAATCACCATTTTGTACATTTCAATGAGAACGAGCCTGTTGTACTTTTACATGGCTGGACATGTAGGTATGACTTACATCGGCAAATCAGTTAATTTAAATCAAACTAATCGATTAACTTATCGATTGTTTACAGGATCGAGGCTCGAGCCTCACTCTCTCGGTGTATAACAAATGAAACTCAGACACGTTGTACACAACGTAATGGACAATGTTACACTGAACATATCCGGGCCAATATTACTGTCCATAGAACATATCCGGGCCAATCTTCCTGAGCCAACCTTACTGTCCATAGAACATATCTGGCTCAGGCTACCTGAGCCTAATCTCCAAGCAGATCCCTTTCGGTGGCAAAAAGACAGTACCAAATAGGCCAGGCAGTATCCAGAGAAGGTCGCCGGCCACCGACGGGTGGGTTAGCGACAAAAATACTGCCATATATAAAAAGCTAACGATCATTCCGCCACAACCTCTGCTTGGAGAGTACCTGAATCAATTTTACTGTCACTGTGACACCGATTTGCAGCTAAAAAGTAAAGCAACATTCAGTATTTTCTACTCACAGTTTGTAGCCTAGTGTTGCTGTGCTAATCGTGATGTACAACCACTGTGGCCTTATTAACACAAATACACTGACAATAGTTCCAATACGTGATCGTCACTGGAAAGACCGGTTTTGCAATGCGGTGGCAAATAGCGTGCCCAGAACAGTGCTGATCTAGATCTATGCCAGACTGAGTTAGTGTCACGTGATCTAGGCCCAGGCAAGGTTCTGGATAGTTTTGGTTATCTAGAAGTAGCCTCTACCAGGCTTCAGGAGGCGGCTGGAAAGAGTAGAAATAGGCCAAACAGAGAGATAAGCATGCCAAGGGAGTTTGTCCGTTGAGAGAACAGTTGGGGTGCGGCGAACTGTTCTCTCAAAGGACAAACTCCCTTGTCATGCTTATCTCTCTGTTTGGCCTATTTCTACTCTTACCAGCCGCCTCCTGAAGCCTGGTAGAGGCTAATCCAGAAGCGTGCCTGAGCAAATTTGGATACAGCATTATGGACGTCCTCTCGGATGGAACTTCACAGTCTCTTCTCCTGGTTGATATTCGGAAACGTGACAGTCATCTGCTATATTACATGTATATTTCGGCAAATCTAGTAGATACAGACACTATAGTGTGTTACGCCGAAGGGTGGTTATACCTATACAGATACAGAAGCTGGTGTGTTACGCCGAAGGGTGGTTATACCTATACAGATACAGAAGCTGGTGTGTTACGCCGAAGGGCGGTTATACTGGCTATACAGATACAGATACAGATACAGAAGCTGGTGTGTTACGCCAAACCCGGATACGGAAGCATGTTACGCCGGGGGCAGTTATACCGGATATACAGAAATCGTTACGGCTACCAGACATCTTGGAGTTTTGGGTAAAACCTTATGGTCTCATTCATGAATTACTCCGAGTGTACCCCCTAAAAGAGTACCAAGTCAAAAACTAAACGGCTGTATGAACGCGTGTTTTTATTGGTGAGAATTTTCCCTTTAGCCATCCCAACTGATGTAAAACGTCAAAGCGGTGAAAGCTTGTTTGTAACTGATGAAATTAGGACGTAATTGTCGGCAGCCGCGCGCTAGGTCGGACGTGCACAGTCCAGTGTTGTGAGTTGTGCGGTCGTAGGTTTGCAGCGCGGGAGGACCTCTTGCGGGCAGCCGCTAGGTGCACTTTGTAATTCCCATAAAAAGGGATTGTGTGTTTAGAAGTCGTTGGCAATTTTTTTATGAGAAGTAGAGTAAGTGTGCTCAACATAGCAAGAAAGATATCAATTGATTTAATGTAGGATCATAGGGAACACGGTCTCGTAAGTCACTCATTAATGCATGGTTTCTAATGTATGGAAAAAACTCATGAATGAGACCTTATATATAAACGTTATGAGAGCAGAATTGCAGGGAAGGTCGCTCCAAGGTAAGTTTTGTTTTCTACACTCTACTTTTTTGCCAACATGTAATCACCAGACGTGGTGACGACACACTCAAGTTTTTTCAACTTATATTATTGCCGCCACCAACACAGGGGACAAATACATTACAGGACAATACTCATTTACACCTGAGCTAAGTGAGGAAGGCCGTGCCTTTCCCAAGGGCACAAGATCGGTGGCATGTCAGGACTCGAACCCGGGACTCATTGTTCCGTGTCGCGCACTCTGCCGCTACGCCACACGACCACACTCAAGTTCAACTTATATTAATTTCGCCACCAACACAGGGGACAAAACAATTCTCATTTTCACCTGAGCGAGTGCCTTTCCCAAGGGCACAAGATCGATGGCATGTCAGGACTCGAACCCGGGACCCATTGTTCCGTGTCGCGCACTCTGCCGCTACGCCACACGACCACACTCAAGTTCAAATTATATTAATTTCGCCACCAACACAGGGGACAAAACAATTCTCATTTTCACCTGAGCGAGTGCCTTTCCCAAGGGCACAAGGTCGATGGCATGTCAGGACTTCACCAGAAAGGACTGAGAACCTTCAGTACGATCATGAAAGAAAAACAACCCATACCCTTCACACTACGCCTCATAATATAATATCAATGACTACGATGTTTGGTTGTTATCTAAGATCCAAATGTTTAAAAAAAGACAGGGATGTTTGTTTTCTTTGGTCCGTTTAAAGAATTTGTTTTGTTCGAGAGTCCCGAAGCTAGTCAGGAAGGCGGCGGTAGACATGACTACATGCATGGAGCAGGATACGCAGTCGCCATGACAGTCTAGTCAGGAGGGAGGGGGGTAGACATGACTACATGCATGGAGCAGGATACGCAGTCGCCATGACAGTCGGCGTGTTGTTACATCCATAACTTAACAGCGGCATTGTTGTCCCTACATAGAACATCCTGTTCAGATTTCACGGGCTTTGTAATGATATGATATGATATGATATGATATGTTATAATATGATATGATATGATATGATATGATATGATATGATATGATATGATATGAATCTTTATTGCATGTTCTTGCCCAGATGGGCTAAATGCACAAGAGGATGTCCAGTATGTAAAGCACGAGTATTTCATACCGGTACGCTATATTCTGATGTAAAGTGTTAGGAATCTATACATAATACTATAAACTACCTATCATCTACTGTTAGTTGCCTTTTCTTCTCTCTTTTTGAAACATTTGGAAACATAATTACATAGTTTGTCTACTGTACATTCGTTCTTGTATGACATCAAGTGTTCAAACATGTCCTGCTTTGACATTTTCTTACATATCTTGTCTAATTGTAAAGTTTCGAATAGCTCTTGGCGTTCATCTTTATATAATGTACAGTCAAGTATAAAGTGTATCTGTAATAAAAAGACATTAAGCCAGATTGGTTGCTGAAGTCCAGACAGTGTGCTGATTGGTTGCTGTAATGCAGCAGTGTGCTGATTGGTTGCTGTAGTCCAGACAGTGTGCGGATTGGTTGCTGTAGTGCAGCAGTGTGCTGATTGGTTGCTGTAGTGCAGCAGTGTGCTGATTGGTTGCTGTAGTGCAGCAGTGTGCTGATTGGTTGCTGTAGTGCAGCAGTTTGCTGATTGGTTGCTGTAGCGCAGCAGTGTGCGGATTGGTTGCTGTAGTCCAGACAGTGTGCTGATTGGTTGCTGTAGTGCAGCAGTGTGCTGATTGGTTGCTGTAGTGCAGCAGTGTGCTGATTGGTTGCATTGAAGTCTGAATTGTGTATATTTAGTGTATATCTTTCTATCTCCAGATGAATACGCGCAGGCGCTGTTGGTTGCTGACGTCACTGTTCCTTGTGGGGCTCACATGCGCATGCGTCTTCCTGACCACGGATAGGTTTGTCACCAAATGGGTCAGTGTTTTTTATAGTTGTTTTTTTTTAAATCTTGCATTATTACCCTCTAGCCGTTCTGATAGCTTTTCTTAATATTCCCTTTAGGTCATGTTATTTGATTTACCTATCCAGACTGTGAATGGTACAAGGTAGCACGTGATTCACAGTATGGCCGGAATAGGTGCTCAAATCAACATGGCCTAATCTTAGCATGAAAGTTCATCTGTGTTGGTACAAGTCATTATGAAAAAAAGACTAAGCTTTAACTTCCAACACTTGAATTATGGAAGTCCCAATTCTGTACTTCAAGTGTTGGAAGTTAAAGCTTAGTCTTTTTTCTCATAATGGCCTAATCTGCTAAGCCATACGTGACTGATGAACCTCTTCCACTGTATTATTCTCGCCTTGTTTTTGCCAACCTAAGACTTCCTCACGACTCCAGCAGGACTTCTCACCACGACAAACGGCCGACCGCAAAGAGTCGTCAGAGAGACGCACAACAACGCCAGAACGGAGTCCGGAATCTGCCGGAGAACCACCGAAAACACGTGATCCGGAACCAATGGACGCCGTGAACCCGCTGAAGGGTTATGTGGGGGTGCCTGATGAGTCAAAGGTCAGAACGTTTTAGATCAATAAAAACAATAAATATACATCCTGTTGCAATTTTGTAGCCGGAGGGATTTAGACTCCTGTCACCATATAATATGGATGTGCTTGATTAAGAATTAACAGAGCAGACCATATGCGAAGGTAAACATTATGCATTTGCTTTGCAAATGTTACCTTCCTAGTTTATCCGTTTGTTGATTTTAAACGCATTTTTGTCATGACGTCACTACCGTGCAGCAACTGAACCTGAGCTGTGGCGCCTGCGCACTGGTGACCGGTTCAGGTTAGTTCACAAACACGTTCCCCGGTGAGCATGCGCAGGGAGCGAAGGTGTAACATTTGGAAAAAGGCTTAACAAACACCTTCGGTGGTGCGCATGCACAGAATGGGAAGGTGTAACATTCGGGAAATAAGGTTTCTTTAGTTATATACACGGTTTGGTGAAGAGACGAACGAATGTTTAAAGTTAAAACTTTTGGTCCAACACAAAAAATTCTCTCACCTAGAGCTTTCGACCAGTCACTCTGGTCTTCCTCAGTAGACTGACCCAGTGAGGCTTGTCACGTGGCTTCTTTGAAGTGTGACGTCAACACTGGGTCAAAGGTATCTGGTAGACGATGTCGGCCCCCGTCGCGGTTCAATGTAGGGTGATGGGCCCTGGTGTATATGGCTTCCTTCATACCTCTCAAGAAATAGTCTTGTTCAGTGTCTAAAATCCTTACAGTGTCAAGTGAAACAAAATGTCCGGGTGACTCTATGTGGATGTGTTGAGACACCTCAGAACTGGCAGAGCTAGACCGTGTATGTTCTTGAAACCTGGCTTTTAGAGACCTTTCTGTTTCCCCACTTCACCGGGTCAGTCTACTGAGGAAGACCAGAGTGACTGGTCGAAAGCTCTAGGTGAGAGAATTTTTTGTGTTGGACCAAACGTTTTAACTTTAAACATGTAATTACCAACACAGATGAACTTTCATGATAGACGAACGAATGTTGGACCCACTTTCTACTAGATAAAGTGTTTTTTTTGTTGTTGTTGTTGCTAGAATTGAGCAGCGTTTTCTTTAACCTCCAATAAAAGATTCTTACAAACACAGGGAAGAAGTAGACTAGCTGACATCTTGTGTGATTCGGCTTCTGTTTATCCGAACTAAGCTCTACTCTGCCTCCTTCAGGTCGGATGCTGAACTACAAGGCTGGGAACGAGATCGACCAGGCCGATTGCGTCATTAGGATGAACGAGGGGCCCGTTGTGGGGTACGAAAAGCATGTCGGGAGTAAAACAACGCTGCGCGTCATTGCTCACCCGTCTATTTTATATGTAAGTGTGATATTCTTTCACTCTCTTCTAAAGTTTTCGATGTATAAGCAAGATGTCTATATCGCAATATGTTCAGCGGAACCCACATGTCCCACATAACCAACCATGTCCTGTCGTTGAGAACTAGTCGTGAATAAGGTAATCTGTGGTTGTGAGTTGGTCGGCGAGGTTACGTACTAATCTTTAGAATAAGGCAGGTTGTACCTTTGTGAGTAGATGTCTGTCTTAGCGTGACTGAATCTGCGCTCCTAGCGGCCGGCCCGGTATTACACCTTCTCAAGAAGAAGGGGCGGCTTGTGTAATAGCAGGCCGGCCGCTAGGAGCGCAGATTTAGTCAGGCTAATGTCCGTCTCATCGGCGGGTTTTTACTGCAGGTCGCCTTGGATGCGGCTATTTTGGAGGGAAACTACAAAGTTCTCGTCTGGGGGCCAAGCAAGGAAATGGACGCCAAGACAGGAAAAACCTACCCGAAAGTGACATCCTTGCAGGACAGACACCCGAACTTACAGGTTTATAAACTGACCGAGGACAAGATACGGTACGGCGACAGGGTGTTTGAAGCAGAGACTGGACTTCCAAGGTGGGGTATTATCACTCACTAACTCAGTCACTCACTCACTCACTCACTCACTCACTCACTCACTCACTCACTCACTCACTCACTCACTCACTCACACACTCACTCACTCACTCACACACTCACTCACTCACTCACTCACTCACTCATTCACTCACACACTCACTCACTCACTCACTCACACACACTCACTCACTCACTCACACACTCACTCACTCACTCACTCACTCACTCACTCACTCACTTACACACTCACTCACTCACTCACTCACTTACACACTCAATCACTCACTCACTCACACACTCACACACTCACACACTCACTCATTCACTTACTCACTCATTCACTCACTCACTCACACACTCACTCACTACACACTCAATCACTCACTCACTCACACACTCACTCATTCACTTACTCACTCACTCACTCACTCATTCACTCATTCACTCACACTCAACCACTCACTCACTCACTCACTCACTCACTTACACACTCAATCACTCACTCACTCACTAACACACTCACTCTCTCACTCACGTTGCTTTACGTTTACATGCCACTTCGCAGGATTTTCATGCTCTAAAGTGCTGCTGTACATTTGTTCACAGAGAGAAGTCTGGAACGTGGCTCAGTACAGGCTGGTGGACAGTCTTGGTCGCTATGGAAATCTGTGACGTCATCAAAGTTTACGGAATGATCCCCGAGGGTTACTGCAGGTCCATTTTTAAATTTATACTTACATTTGGAAAGCTTTTTTTGCCTTCAGGATTGTTTTCGGCGAGATCATTAAAATAGGCTAATTTTATTTTCACATCTTACAATTCTATATATGACGTAATTTGACTGATACTGCTGGCAGTTACCCCCATCATGTTTTATAATGCTGTAAGAAAGTATGGCTTTGATCAGACACCCTTAAATACCCCCAGGCAGCGATGCACTAACTGTACAGTTGTTTGTCATGTGCAGAAACCACCCGGATGATCAGACATTTTATCACTACTTCACTGGCAGAAGGTACCGCATGGAAGACTACAAGGAGTGCGCGTATCAAAACGAACAGCAGGATTTCCGCGGTGGCAGCCACAAATATCTAACGGAGAAGGCGATATTCGCGCGATGGGCGCCTCTGAACAACATCACCTTCATCAACCCCTCATGGGACCTTTAGGCAGTACCTAGCAGATCCGCTAGGGCGCCACAGAACAACATCACCTTCATCAACCCCTCATGGGACCTATAGGCAGTACTTATTAGAGCTGCTAGGGGGCCACTACCTCTTCTCGTGCTGCCCATTTTAGCTCTTTTATAAAAGCACCTTCAGAAGTTAAGCGATAAGTAGTCACAAGGTCAAAGGAGCGTCATGATGTGTTGTGCATTGCGTCATGATGTGTTGTGCATTACGTCATGATGTGTTGTGCATTACGCTATCGAGGCATTTTAACTGAACTTTCACTGCTGCAGTTTTCGCTGTTGTCAAATAAACGCCTGAACAAACTTGAGTCGTTATTGTGTTGATTTGAACTGTTCGCCCTGCCTATATATGGTACGCACCTTCCTGTGTGAGTGTCCAGACCTGAAGCCTTTCGTCTGGTTTCTCCATTTCACGGTACACAACTCTAGATAATGATAACTCGGGAAACAAGAAAAAATACTACAAGTCATACCAGTAGTTCACACAGCGTATCATTTCAATCTTTTAGTAATAGTTACATTGGAGAAACCAAGCGCTTCTAGCTCTGCTTGACTGTTTCTAACAGTCAATTAGATATAGAAGTCCAAATACTACGTAATGGGCCTAAATCCCCCTCCTAGCTATGATTGGCGGATATTTTTCCGCCAATGAGATATAGGAGGTTACCATGTAATCTTATCTTTCAAATAGCTCTGTTAGCATTTAATTTAACATTTTAATGTCTTGGGGTGGTGGGACTACGGCGCACAGATATGTCAACTTGTATATTTAAATGTTAATTGTACCTTTTTTGTTGTGTGGCGCTGTTAATATAAGTTGTTAACTTGAGTGCAACGTCACACTGTCCTTGTTATGCTTTTACGTTTTGATGATTAAAGAAAATTACACCTAGTGAGAGATAAGCTAATTTCGACTTCTTCAAACTATGGTTTGGATTTAAGTGGAAGTATCACCCACCCACTCCCCCGAGGATCAAATCCGGAAGGGTTAACGTACATCATCGTCGTAACTTGAACAGGTTATCCGATCTCTGATATCTAGAGTCCGTTATCGTACATTATCACCGTAACCTGGACAGATTATCCCATCTCAGATATCCGAAGCCCTTTGAGACATCAGCAGATTGCTGCCCGGATCCGTTGATCTGCTCACCTGACCCGCAGGCCACGGCTAACGTCCCAGCGGTGACCTGACCGAGGCTGATCAATCCCCGGGCCATGTCCGACCGTGGCTGATCAATGTTTCTGTCACGTCGCAGCCGCGTTTCGGCGCTTTTGATCTGTCCTTGGCCTAAATACGTCGCGTTATGACAGGACTCTGACCATCTATCAAAATTAGCCCCGCTGATTTTCTATAGCAATAATCGCCGCTGCGTACTTATCTATCCATCACCTGTGTTCTAACGAGCGAGCCCGTGTTCCCGGGATTATGTGATTAAGAGAAGTTGTGGGAGGGTCATGAAGGTCGATGACACGATGTCATCCTAAGTATCGTAATCATAAAACTGTCCTGCAACCCAAACTTTTGATTCGAGCTGTCTTCTGAAGCGAAGAGAATTTATGGATAAAAAAACATGGAATTTGCAGCCGACGGCTGAATTACGTCCGCTGTACATCAAAATTCGTTAAACATTCATTTACACAAGCATTAACACAAATATCCACATCATTATTCACAAAGTCCTTGAAATGCTGTGTCTAAGACAAACAATAATTGTACCGCTCCGTTCTACATTTGACAAGGCTGAGTTTTTTTACTGGAACGAGTGGTGTGCTCAGTGGTGGTGCCCCTCCTGGGTGGTAGCCAGTGTTGGAAGTCCTGCGATCGGAGAACTTTCCTATCAAAGTTCAGGCAAAGCTGGACCCTTCGGTCTTCTACCGTAGGTAAGTCCAGATGTTGGAACAAGGACTCAGCTCATGGCTTAAGATAATAAATAACTGTTCTTGGCTGTAAATTAGCAAAATACAATTAGCAAACTACACTTGACAGGCCAAATCAGTGTATGTCTCTGTACAGTTCAATCTATCTTCGTTTGTCTCTTGCTAAGTCTCTGAGGTATTTCAGAGACTCGAGTCTGATGTTATGATTAAGATAAAGTTTACAGTCGTCGACAAGGCTGATGAGGAGACCTTCACGTGGTCTTCCTTGTCTGGGTTTGAGTTTGAGGCTCATGGTTAAATCAGCACGGAAACTGATTACGGACTCACGGAGGTACCGAACGTTGTCACGTAAGCTCTGATAGTTGGAGACGTAACTTCAGTTCAGTAGGGTCGTGTGGCGTAGCGGCAGAGTGCTCGACTCAGAAGCCAGAGTCCCGGGTTCGAGTCCTGGTATGCCACCGATCTTGTGCCCTTGGGAAAGGCACTTAACACGACTTTCCTCACTTAACTCAAGTGAAAATGAGTATTGTCCTGTCCTGTATTTGTCCTCTGCGTTAGTGACGGTATAAAATAAGATGATATAACTTTAGTGTGCCGTCACCATGTCTAGTCATGAAATGTTGGAATAAAAAAATATAAGAAAACTTCAGTTCGAGATGTCGGAAGGATGAAAGAAGTCCCCCCGGGGCAGTACGCGGCTTCGCGGTGTCTGTACCTGCGGGTTACGCACCTTCGGGTGGCAACTTGACTGATCGCCCGACGTGTGAACAAGGTGAAACTCACAAGAGGTAGCGCAGTTCGTGCCGCCTGAAGACGGAACCGACATGGCAAGCGCGGAATATAAAACCCTTCTGCTTCTCACACAGTCTGGGGAAACTTTGGCTCCCAACGTGGAATAACATTTGGTGTCTGTAAGGTGTGGCGAGTAGGAAAACAACCATTAAATGTAAAAAAAAAAATTAATATGAATCTAATCAACAGAATTCCATTGATGTCTAGGCAAAAAAAATGTTCATTCAAGCAGCAGCCATTTCTTACGAGAATAATTTATTATTAATCCATTTGCGCGAGTACAGTTTCGCCTGCAGGCTGTTAGTCAAATCAAGTCAATCTTTATTGTACAACAATTGTAACGGGTACAATGTACTACATATCCAGCTAGCATCTACTCTCACGTCTACAGTATTACCTACAAGTTCTATGTATCGAAAATAACATTCTATTTCAAAAGTTAATATGGTACATGTATATATATATATACATGTATATATATATACATGTACTATATTAACTTTTGAAATGGAACATGGCTGACATGATAATGTACAAGTTAGTCTTCTCGCGTTGGCAGTCAGACCAGGTAAATCAGTGATCTCAGGGACGGGAGGAATGTGTGCAATTAACTACCCGCATTGTGAGGGTGCATTGTGTGCCGATATTGAGAATCGCTATCGCTATTAAAGTGCATCACGGATTGCTTAATTTTATCACTTTGCATCTAACAGCATCCCAATCGCCATAATGATGTATAAGTAAATCTTTATTGCATGTTCCTCTTCAAAGGGCTAAATGCAGCTGTGACCAAAAACAGTCTAGAGGGTATAAACATGAAGTATTGCATACTTAAACTACGGTCAATCGATGCTGACTCAGCATACCGAGTACGTGTGATGGACGTGCTCAAGCATCGGTAGTGAGATTCCACAATCCGTCACCAGCTAGCTCGAACTACTCCTGAAGTATTACTGCTAGTACTGAGGAATAATCAGGTATTACTGATAGTACTGAGGAATAATCAGGTATTAATGCTAGTACTGAGGAATAATCAGGCATAACTGCTAGTACTGAGGAATAATCAGGTATTACTGCTAGTACTGAGGAATAATCAGGTATTACTGCTAGTACTGAGTAATGAATAATCAGTGTGATACGTGTGATGGAAGTGCCCCGACATCAGCATTGGGATTACGCAATCCGTCACCAGTAAGCCCCTGTAAGAACTCCTCGGCACATCTACAGAAACGTTTCCAGCGAGCATTGGGAGAAATTGGGGGCAAAAGGGTCGCGGCTAATCCACTCCGGGGTCAGATTGAACAGGCTAGGTGACGGAGTCGATCACAGAAACGTATTGAATAAACCCAGATCTGCGTTACTAACTTTGGAAGGGTCGTCCTTTGAAGAATTGGTTTAATTACACTTTATTCGGATTTTACGTTTATATATATACGTAATCAACATACAGTTGTAACAGGTATGAAAGTGATGCATTCCAATATCCTACAGACTTGGTGCCTTTAGGCAGAGTTGTACCGACTAGTGAAAAGCACGTTATCCTCTTTATATATGTAATAATGAACACATAAGGATTGAAGGAGCAGCATTAATGTTTGCAACATAATGTCTCTACTACCGATTGAAACATTTCCTTTGAAGTTTTTATCATAAAAATACGGCCTTTCCTGTTGAATTTCATTTTTAATATGAATGTGATGACAAATGATGTAACCAGAAATAGTAACCCTAACCGTATCTGAAAAAATAACATTACTTGCTTGCTTACTTACTTAACTTAGGCCTCGATATTAACACTGATGGTTTGTAAATACATATCGACCAGAGCGCCATTTTCTTGTGTAGAATTCTTTTGATGTAAAATGGTCTAATTGGAAAATGTTTAAGTCCACTTCAAGTTACAAGAATGAACAACAACTTTAAATGGATGTCAAGCTGAGAGGCCACGTCCTAAACCAGTCAGTATCTGTATTCTTTATCTGTATAGCCGGTATAACCGCCCTTCGGCGTAACACACCAGCTTCTGTATCTGTATAGCCGGTATAACCGCCCTTCGGCGTAACACACCAGCTTCGCAGGCACGCGACGCGGCGGCAGCTAGCTATATCACACCGAACGACTTGTTACACTCAATCATTGCACATTTAATTGCTTGAGTTGTTTAAAGCTTTCTAGTGATGATGCCCCAACTGTGCTTGGTGGCAACGAGTTTCAGTCTACGATAGTTCTGGGGAAATACGAGTTTTTGAATACCTCAATTCTTGGTTGATAACTCTGATATTTGAAGGCATTACTGTATCACATTGTCGTGCCAGAACTACCCGCTTAAGGGCGCTCTGACGGTCAGCATATCAAATGCTGATGATCAGTCTTACTAGCTATACCTCCGTGAATTCCATTCGATAGACGATAAACTACACGGGCTGGAAAAAAAGGAGCCTACATTTCCACAACCTGTAGCTTCCCCGCTAAATATATCACAAACATTGCTTCTCCATACTATTCCTCAGTACTAGCAGTAATACCTGATTATTACTCAATACTAGCAGTGATACCTGATTATTCCTCAGTACTATCAGTAATACCTGATTATTCCTCAATACTAGCAGTGATACCTGATTATTCCTCAGTACTAGCAGTAATACCTGATTATTCCTTAGTACTAGCAGTAATACCTGATTATTCCTCAGTACTAGCAGTAATACCTGATTATTGCTTAGTACTAGCAGTAATACTTGATTAGTCTTCAGTACTAGCAGTAATACCTGATTATTCCTCAGTACTAGCAGTAATACTTGATTATTCCTTAGTACTAGCAGTAATACCTGATTATTCCTCAGTACTAGCAGTAATACCTGATTATTGCTTAGTACTAGCAGTAATACCTGATTATTCCTCAGTACTAGCAGTGATACCTGATTATTCCTCAGTACTAGCAGTAATACCTGATTATTCCTCAGTACTAGCAGTAATACCTAATTATTCCTCAGTACTAGCAGTAATACCTGATTATTCCTCAGTACTAGCAGTAATACCTGATTATTCCTCAGTACTAGCAGTAATACCTGATTATTCCTCAGTACTAGCAGTTATACCTAATTATTCAGTGTTTGTAATGACTACACAAAGAATCTGTGTCCGTCCTTATGAAACCCCATATTGCCGATCGCTACGCCATGCTATGCCGTGCGAACTAACTAACGCGCCTGACGTGAAACTTCCCTACGTGCCGCCATTGGCTGCCTCCGATACACGTCACCGCCAAACGACGAGTTCCCAAAGCATCGGGTGATCGGGAGGTTTCCTCATTCCATCTGTAGGGACCTGGCGGTGGTACATCATCCGGACGGGACAGCTTTTAACACAACACAAGGGGACAGTGCAGTTTCTTCCTGTAGTACGTGACAGCTAGCTGTTGCCTTCAACAAAACACGAGGGTACAGCGCAGTTTTCCCGCCCGTAGCCTTGAGCACAAGAGTACAGCGCACTCTGACTACCTGTAGCCTCCATCACAGCACAAGAGTACAGCGAACTCTCTCTACCTGCAGCCTTCACTACAACAAGGGGACAGCGCGCTCTACCTACCTGTAGCTCTTAACACACGGGTACAGCGCACTTTGCCTACCTGTAGTATGGGATAGCATAGCGTGTCCTCTACTCAACGCGTCCTGCTCTGCAGTATTTAAGAGACCACAGTCTAACCTGTAGCATCACACCGCGAAGTCTGCCCAGCGGTAGAGTCTGTCCTTCCGTGCAGTCCGTAGCGGCCATGGCCCACACAAAAAGACGCTAGCCGTCTCTTTCCTCATCACGTTCCTTCTTACTTGGTAAGTGATGACATTTCTGTACAACTATTCTATTATCACTGACAATTCCTCTCCGTGCTGCATTGTTTCTCTCTTTTTGATCACTTCGTCGCTATTTTTCTTAGATAACGTGTGGCGGCACGTACGGTTTGTAAATATTGATTGTTGAAACCTATAAAGGAAAGCCGTTAATCTTTATAATTATGAAGCACTGATCAGTGTAAGCCTGGTGTGGTGGCGATGGCAGAATAACGAAAAGGTGCGACCGTTGTCATCCGTCCGCCCCCAAGAGCTACAAAACAAATATTACAAAATGTCATTGTCCTACTCCTTAAGCAAGAGGCAGGGACACGAAATTCCATTTGGTAAATCTCGTCTGAAGTCACACTGGATTCTGCTGGAACCTGACTGGTTATTCGAGCCTTCCCTTCTTACGTGCAGAAAGACAATTACGCGTACATCGATACAACCGAGACCCAAACACTTCTTCCATGTAGTGGTTATACGTGTACGTGAGATTCCGTTTTCTCACGCCACTAAGATGAAGTGTTCTTTTAGAACGAATTGGCCCAACGAATTGGCGAAACAGCCTGATATAACGTGAAAGATGGGCGTTTATTGCTGGCTGGAAACCTCCAGGTGATTAGGGACTTTATGTTCACTTGATATGACGGCATAAATCCTGCTATGTCTTTATATTGAGCGCTACTTCTCTCCCCTCTTGATCTATTTCACTCCATCTGGTTTGCTTGCTTACTTACTTTATCATATGGTTTGCGTTATTCTAATTCAGCAATGATAATTGAACAACAGCCGAAACACTAACCATTGAGGAGTACGCCAGGTTCGTGTGCTCGTCTCGTTAACATGCCTCACTTCACGCTCTGGTTAGATAAATGAAGTCACATCATTTCCACCATCCCAGCCTCTTACCAGCTTGCTGCTGCCGTTTAAATGCCAAATGAAGACTCGTGGGGTACAATAAATCTCTTAGTCAATAAGTCCCTTATTGACTAAAAGCATGTTTTGGACACCTTAATTAAGTTTAGATTCATGGCAATAACTTTAAGACGAAATTACTTATTTCATCTATGATAGATTTCTTGAGTTAAATTAATGTGAATACTGATTGATTTAGATCACTGCAGAATGAGCAACCTGTTTTTTATTCCCTATTACCAAAAGGCTGCCATTGTGAATTTGTCATTTTTATACACCCCACATAATATACAATCTCTCCACCACCATGTTATCCTGATGATTCATATCGGAGTATGTCTTAATGCCACTTTGCCAAAACCTCCGGGTAATGACAGTGTGGGTTGTGTTAGATACGATTGGACAAATGGCTCTTAGTTAGTTACTAAAAGCTAAAAGCATGTTACATGAAATACACGTTCTGTGTGGCTCCACTTTCAAGATTCCCTGTAAGTGTTAAAGAGGACACCGGGACTTTAAAGAATGCCGGTTATTATTGTATATATTATTACACTTCTCCAAACCAGCTGGAGCCGCGCCTGCTTTACACGCTACAACACATCGCGTGCAGGCATCGCAGAGGCTAGTAGTAATTTCCGTCTCACAATTGTTCGCCGTCTTGCAGAACGGTTGTCGCCTTTACACGCTACAGCACATCGCGTGCAGATCGCCCAGGCAAATTCCCGTCTGGCAAACGGCCGTCGCCTTTCAGAACGGTCCTCGCCTTTCGATGCCATATCGCTGACTGCTCGATGCCATATCCGAGCGTATCATAACTTTTTTTAGCTCCATAAACGTATAAAAGGTATATGCACTAAACAGAATTGCAAATGTAAGGAAGGATCATGAAAGATATTAATGGTGTTAATGAAAAGCCTAAGCTCAAGTTCGAATATGGGTCAAAAAGCGTAGCTCTAAAACCCTAACCAAAACCATAGCCCTCTACGCCACGAAACATCACGGTGTGGATGGACCGTGCTGATACACTTTAAGTTGGGCGTTCTGCGATGTGGCATCGACCGTTTCAAAAGGCGGCGGCCGGTTACGAGATGTACATGACCATCGGCGAGATTCAAGAGAAACGCACGCTGTTTGGCGTCAGATGGATGAGATTTATCAGTGGAAATCTGGAGATACGTTAAATTTACGGACGTAGTGATTATAGATGCGGCACGTCGTTTCAGTCTTCTCCCGTTAAAACAGCTCCGTCCACTTCATCTGAGGCAACAGCCTGACACGCTACAGATAAACCTGTTGCAGAAACTGACTGATCTTGAGAAATTAGACTTTTTATTAAAACCATTGGTTTGATGAACGAACTTGACGGAGGATGACGTAACGAACTATGCCATTCACCAGAGTTGCAGAAAACATACCTAATTGCAATGATTAATTTTCGGTGCAAGGAGTACAAAAACACGACCTGGCATCACACTGTTATGTCAGTCATCGGGAACCTGCCACTGGTTTTGTTCAATGAGACATTTTATCTGCGGTAATTAGCTAGGATCGTCTCGGTTCGTTTGCGCAGTGAAGTCCTGACGTTTTGGTACTAATTTGCTGGAGGAAGTCATTGGGTAAAAAAAACTGCCTGCCTTATTGCAGACAAACGACCGATGTTTGTCTTTGATGTCGCGGCACGAAATTAACTTAATCGCACTTCCCTGTCCAACGTAGATCAAAAGCTCTCAGAAGTTCTGTTACCGAAGGTGATTCCGGCTCATAACTCGTCCCAAACTGCCTCACGGATTGTCGCTTAGAAGGAAATCAGCAGCTTTTATCGCTAGTTGATGACGCAGACGTAATTTGAAGTGAGGCTTTTAAGTAACTGAACTTTAAATGGCGCCATTGATGCATTTTGTCTGCTTGCCTTTATAGTGTACCAAACGGTCTTGAATATTACTGTTGAGCGAGTTCGCGCAAAGCTGACGACATCGCAGTTTTGAAACTAAACTCTATAAGGGATTATTACATACAGCTAGTCTTAACTGTGCATCAAACGTACATAAACTACCCAGCCTTAACCTCTGACATTTAATGTCGCACCGTGTAAGCACGGAGGCCGACAAATTTCGACTAGTCATAATTCTTCTCGGTTTTACGACACCACACAGTTACTATTCATACAAAATTTGCACATCGTTAGGAAGCTGTAAATTGTCAGAATCAGTTGTCACTGTGGCAGTACAGTTTCAGTGCTTTAGGAATAAAAAACGCCCACACACTTAACGACTGAAACTTTCATGTCTGGCCTCAGGGAGCCTCTGGTGTGGTGTCCGGGAAGTAACAAACACAAGTCACATGGCGGCATGAGAACGGGGCGGTCCTTCTGCTGGCAAGGACGAGACTAAAAGTTCCCCGGTTGTCATTCCAGATTGGGACCTGTTCAGAATCACAAAGAAATATGAAGGGCATTGTCCTTTTTGGTCCGTATATCATTTGTTCTGTGAGGAGTTGCGTACATCAGCTGATCCCAAACCTTTTTGTTAAATACTGTATCTGAGTATGACAAATGTGATTGTGAATGCCTTTTCCTGTACCTGTACGTAATTGGTGTAGGAGCCCTGGAAGGTTAGTCTCTGAAGGGCTAAAGGGCATCCCGATATTGAAACTGAAACTGAACCGCAACTCTGAGATTGGGCGATGGCCAGGCAAAATGTTCTGGGAGGAGGTTTATTACAGAGTTTATTAATGGCGAAGGTGGACAGAATATTTTGTTCCGAAAGTTTGTGTGGATCGTGGCCAGGTTTGGCACCACGAGGAGAGTTATCTGAGACTTATGTCGATAAAGGTTAGACATCCAGGTAATCTCTTCTTGCCTTGGCTTACAATGCGCCAAAAAGCAGCTACTCAAGCAACTGGATATGCTTTTGGAAACGGTTAGACGTTTCAGCTAGTATCCACTAGCTTTCGTCAGTGACTGAGAGGCCAGAGGAGAAATGCAGGTTTACAAGCACGAACTATTGATTGATATGCAAATAAAGTCCTGTTCTGCACAACAGGAGCTATTTGACTAATTTGCATTGTTTTGTCTTGAGTGGTCTAACTTTTGTTTCCCTTTGTCTTCACTTCTTTTTTATATATCTATCAATCAATCAATCAACCAACCAACAATCAATAGTGCTTATAAACCTGCATTTCTTTCCTGGTCTCTCAGTCACTGACGAAAGCTAGTGGATACTAGCTGAGACGTCTGACCTTTTCCAAAATCATATTCAGTCGCTTGAGTAACTGTTTTTTGGCGGATCTGAGACTTAGACAGGAAGCCGAATTTCCAGCGAAGCAGGATTTAATGGGCAGCTTCGTGTCCGAAGATCTAACTGGTGAAATGGGCAGCTTTGCTCTAATGGCTGTTACTTCGTGTTCAAAGTTTACCTGACCATTCCACACGGCAGGCCGGGGTTTGATGAGCAGTTTTACCTAAGCATTCATCACCGCCCACTCCGACCGTCTGCGGGGTTAATTATCGTGTCCCTGGAGCGGCGTGGGCAAGACAAACGACTCTGTCTCAGAAAGGGGTACATCAAAACGTCCCTAAAGCCACTAAAACGAACTGCACTAACAGAATATCAGAATGCTGTGAAGCAACAGGAACCAGACCACCTAACCCAATATTACACCGGAGCCTAGTACCAAACCCAACATTATACCGGAGCCTATTACTAAAATGCCTTCCTCACTTCCCTAAGGAGCATGATGCCAGTCATCCTAATGTAGAGTTTAAAGGTAAACACATTATCTTCAATCTTCAGTAACTCGCCCCCTTCCCCAGACAGGATGGCTTTACACCCGCTTACTGCATAACGACGTTAGGATAGGCGTCTAAGTGGCCGGATAGCCGCCGTGAGACGCCTTAAGAGCCATTCTGCCTCAGCTTAATGCCGGCGCTATCTCAGAGCCAGCTCCACCTTGGGGTAAGACATATGCTCTGTCGGCGGCTGCTGATTCATGATGTTTCACCTGCACTCGCGGGACCGGACCCTGCTCTAATGCCTTAACGTTGCCGCGTCTTTTATGCATCCTTGTAGACTTTTTCAGACTTA